GACTCAAGCTAATTTTGTGTTATTTCTGTCTTCTTCAGATATTGATAATATTACGATAATAGATAATAGAGCTTGCAATTGATGAGACAAGGGACAAATGCATTATATTTTAAACTATGCCTATTAACATGACAACATAACCAAATATTCATATGTACAACACATAGCTCAAGTGCTCAGCTGCAACTGCAACAAGCAAAATGCACACATTAAACAGGCAGTGGTACAGTATTATAACAAAACGAAGGATGACACAATAACAATATGACAACAGCGTGGAACTAGTTTCTCACAGTAAGACATCTTTACAGGCATCCTCTGGGGGCTGCATGCATCCTACTTAGAGCGCTGTTCTGAGCTGCGTGCCGGAACGGAGGCTTAATGTCCGCTAAGGCAGCTAGACATTAGCAAGTTTATACGCTTAGCCGTAGTTCAGAAATACAGCAGAGCAGGTGGTCAGAGACGATGCTGTAGGACTAGGAATCCAATCGTTTGCGCGGATGACTTTTTCGGTGGGGTCGGCCTCTGTCTGTGGCTGAAGGACTACCTGCTGAAATGGCGGTGGCGCGCAGTGAAGGAGTCCGCTTGAGGACACAGCTTGAGGTATGCATTTGGTAGTCGGGTGCTGCATCGATGCCATTTCCTGGCAGAGTACCGCCTGATGTCCGTCGAGTAAGGCTCCGTTGACAGATGATGCGCTGACTCCCGAATCACTGCTCGGACTGCTGGCGTTCAGCGCTGGCATTGTCAGCACCGGAAATGGACTGCTGCTGACATTTGCCAAATCTTGAACTATAAATGAGTTTGCACTGAGAGAGATCTTAAGCTGTTTAGCAAAGCAAGCTAAAGCAGGGAAACATGAGAACGTAACACAAAAGCAAAGGAATTTTCCTGTGTTGTTCGATTGTGGGGCAGAACATACTATTGACTTCAAAATTTACGGATACTATCGGAGCAAGAAGCAATTTTGCTGAACATTTCACGTGGACTTCGATCCTACCCTTTATTAAATCGAATAGATCATGCAAAACTAAATGATATGTTCAACAACTTGAGCAGACGAACAATCTCTAACTTGAAAAGTAAAATTCGTAAATCGAACAAACGGCAGTACTTCTCCTCCCTTAAGCGTTCAAACTTTCGAGTATCAGGTAGTTTTACGAGTATGATAAAAGAAGCATCATTTAGAGGTTAGAAAATTTAAAGCTGATATATTTTCGCATGTTCTTATCCGTGTGTTATGCGGTTTACCGACCAGTCACCCTCTTGCTGCAAATCTACGAATTTCATCCGTATCATTCTGAACCGGACTACTCATAAGTCGGAAACATGCCGGTTTTCACATTGGGTTTTTCGCCATCGATCATATTCATATGGTCAAGCTGGTGACAGAGAATTGCAATAAAAAATCAACTCAAACTTTGTTTCGCTTTCAGTGATCATGGGAAAGCCTTCGATTCGTAAAATTGACGGCTACTCGCCTGGCAAGAACAAGGCATTAACCCTGCTCAGTTCGGCCTGATTGAAGAATTGAACACGGATTGCTCGACATGCCATGTCGCGTCAGTGTCTGGCGAGTAGAGTGCAAGGAAGATACCGTACCATCACCGCTCTTCGCTGCAACCGTCGAGTCACCATTCAGTCGGCTAAACTGGTATAATCGTATGAATATTGATGTAGAGCAGCTGATACACCTGTTACCTGTGAACGACTGCACCGTATTCCAAAACTACACGGTAGAACTCTAACGGAAGATCCAGTAATTGAAAGAGGATTCTCTAATGATCAAATTGGAGGTTAATCTCTCCAAGACAAATTGTCTGCGGAACGAGCGCGTCTTTGAGGGCTCATTCTGCACGAACGGCAAAGAAATCAAGGAAACAATCAGCCATGTATACCTCAGCCGTAAGACTAACCGCACAAACTCGTTAGATGGGAAGTCAGCAAAGCAGTGAAAGCGGCATGGACCAACATTAGTCATATTACAACACCATTGCTGAAACGTGAGCGAAAGAAGAACCGCTCAATTCATCCCTCCTGCCCCTCATTAGCTATAATTTTAAACGTTGGTTTTCTACGACAGTTAATGAAGAGAAACTAGCGGTCCCATAAGGAGCGATGAAACTGGGTTCCCTCTGAAATTAGATCTTTCACGTTCTTTGTAGTTGGCTAGTCGCGAATAACAATACTATGTATGAATTCCCAGAATTCGTTTTGAATCACTTCAAGGAGCAGCATTAATATCGGTTATTCTGTCACTATGCGTCAGAATAAGTCATTTTCAAATAGTCTCCAGCGTAGTGAGGTCAGTCACGCGGTCAGAAGATCTTACCCTCGTAATGTGGAAAAGGGCGTTCACGAAAACGATGGTGGGGTG